TCTAAGTATGTGTATGCACTTAGATGACCCGTGGAAGGGACTGTCCTGAGGGCTTGTTAAATTGTTATATGTTTTTCAATACATGCTTTCTGCCCTGTTTCACATCTTTAGTTTCACATAATGTTCTATTTCAGTGGGTTGTCTTCTCATTGGTATTGATGGCAGAGTATCTCTATGTCTCTTTATTTGGAAAACACAATAAGTAAATAATGCCCACACTTGAGATATCACTGAGCAGGGAAAGGTGGTTTGGTCTGTCTTATTTCTTTGTACTCATTTTTTATCGGGGTCAGATTACATTTTTATCCCCTCTGTTTGAAAATATCAGCAATCAGCATTTCAACCGCCATGTCATCTACACCTGTGCTGAGCTGGATTTGATGACACCACATTAATATACTCCAGAACTCCTGCCATTGATACCATAGATGGTGGGGCACTGGCACAGCACTGCAATGGGAAAAGTGAATAAAAATTTTAGTATAGACACAGCCTAGGTGTGGTTTAGCTGGTTTTTTGTTCTGAATGGTTGTTTGGGTAGATTTATTCTATGCAGTGTTTCTATTGCTTGTGGAATGAAATGTTTTGTCTAAAGGATATTTTATGCCAAATTCTCAATTACTGCATTTCCTGATTTGTTCTGTATCCAATCCTTTCTATTTAAACATAAGTAGTTTGGTCCTTCTCCCAGTAAAGTTAATGGCAAAACTCCCACTGATTTCAGCGGGATTAGGATTGAGCCCAAGTCTGTTATGTTATTTTGGGTCCAACCCCCTCATTATTTGAAAGCCATCAGTCTTCCTTTCTTATACAAATAGAGACAAATTCCAGGGTCCACACCTTTGTCCTGTAGTGACCTTCCCTCTTAATGACTGTTTATATTTTAATGCCATATTTCTGCTAATTTTTTACAGTACATTGCAGTTTGCATTGCAGCACACATTAATGGCACTCTGCATAAATACATTTCTCCTCCTAATTTTTCTATGAGTATTGTTCTACTGTATACTTGCTTTCACTTATTACCTTTCCTTTGGAGTCTGTCACCCAATCAAATAGTTTGGCAGCATCTACTTTCACTTCACCCCTCAGTCACTTTTTTGACAACATCCAGTGTGGCCAAAACATTTAGTATTCGGTCTCTTGTCTTTTCTGCGAAAGTATTAACAAAATTATTTTGGGGAGTGGAGGGGATGAGTTAAAGAAATAAAGCAACTAATTATGGCTATCTTGGCTAGATTATAAAGAAGGGTGGACTTGCATGGCATTTAAAGAGTTGCATTTAAATATCATAGGCCACAGAACTGGGGGTTGGTGGCACCCGGGCCACAGGCAACCACTTTTTCACTGGGCCAAACTTGAGTGGTGCTGCAACCTCATGCACCAGGTTGCAATGCCACTCACTCAGATTTGGAGGGGATTTGTGGAGGGGCTCATGGGTCGAGGGGAGGGGATGCCTGACACGGGAAGAGGAGGGTCAGGTGGTGGTGGGGCAAATCAATCTCCTGCACACACATGCTTTCAGTGGTGCTCTGCAGCCCCTGGTAAACATCAAGCAGGAGATCAGTTTCTGGGGTGGTCTGAAGAGCTGTGACCAAGAAAAATGGAATAAAGATGAGCTAAGAAAATATTTAGGCTGGTTCTCAGGAAAAAGTTCCCTGACAGCACAATCTATTGCTATTGAAGCGTCTGCCTAAGGAATTCGTGTCAGCACCCTTCCGAGAAGTATTCTAAGCTACACATTGGACAGAACCCTGCAGAAAATGTTGACAGAAAAATCCAGCACTAGCAGGGAGATGGAAAAGGGGACCCAGCAGTTCTTTTCTAACTTCTATGATTCTGTATTTTCCTGTAACATATTCATTTAGAGTATCCCCACTTTGCAATATCTAGGGGCTGTCTTGATAGAGCCTGTAGGTTTCAGTCGTGGTTCCTTCTTGTGGGAAGTACGTAGGAATAATAAGGGTTAATGGCAGCATTAAATAAGGACTGCATATAAGGAAATCAGACTATGCAAGAATGTGAGAATGCACATGGGGAACAGGTGTGTGTAAGTTATGCCTGAAAGGAAAACTAGAATGGAATAAAAATTAGTTTTTAATCACTAGACTTAATATAAATATCACTAAACCACTTTTAATTATTTTTTAAAAGTTAAGAGGGTTCTGTGTGGGGCAATCTGGGTACAGGCGGCTCAGTGGGGGTTCTGGGTGCAATGGTAATGGGACTCTGCAGGGGGTTCCAGGTGAAGGTGGTTGGGGCCCAGTGGGGGGGTTGGTCACGGTGTGGGGGGAATAGAGTTCAGCAGGGGGGTCTTGGTATGGAGGGCTTAGCAGGGGGTCCAGATGCTGGGGGACTGGGGCTCAGTGGGGTGGGGATCCAGGGGAAGGTGGTTCGTCGGGGTGGACCAGCTACAGGGGGAGTTCTGGGAGGGTTCTGGGTGTGTTGGTGGTGAGGCTCGGCAGGATGGTCTGGGTATGAGGGGTCTGGATGCACGGGGTTGCGCAAATGGGGGAGCAGCTCCCTGTACAGTGATCCCGCCCCCTACTGCTAAGGAGCAATGGGTGCAGTAAGTATGGGGTCGGGGGAAGAGTTTGCAGATCTTCCTACAGAGAGGGGAAAAATCTGGGGGTGGGTCTGACCCAGCCCCAGATGCCATGCAGGGGAAGAGGAAGTCCCATCCTCCCCAGCCCAGCCGAAACTAGCAGCTGAGCCCGGCACAAGATAGAAGCCACCAGCCAGGTCTTCCCCAGTCCTGCCCCTGCCCCACAGTGATCTGCCTCTCTGCCGGTTGCCCTGGGCACCCGGAACATACTGCTAGGGAGGGTCTCATGAACGCTCTTGTGGCTTCCCTTTGCTTCCCCATCAGAAAGACATTTTTCTACAGAGAAGCAAAGAAATCAGCGGGGACATACATTCTGCACATGTGCAATGGTGCAGAATTCCACCAGGAATAATAATATAAGTAAGGGGAGAGCAGCCATAACAGAGATTCATAGATTTTAATGCCAGAAGGGACCGTTGGGATTATCTAGTCTAATTTCCTGCAAAAGAAAAGCAGAAGACCCCACCCACCACTTCCTGCATCATGTTGTGGTTGAGTTGAGTTATATTTTTTCAGAAAGACAGCCAATCATTACTACCACTCCCTGCTTAGCTATCACACAATTCAGAAGTTCAGGACCTGGAATGCTTATGGATCACTGTTCTAACTGATAAATCACACAATGGGATACTGGCATGGGTCTTTTAGAGACCACCAAAATCGGACTAGAAAACAGCATAAGCAGCTCCTTAAACATCTGTAATGTGCTGAAAGAAAGACTGCATGATGGGGGACAGATGTTGGAGGTCCCATGATATCACTGGAAAAATACACTAGGAGAGTCTAAAAATTACAGATGACATTGTCAGATTAGTGTTATATATCTGGCAGTCAGTTTAAAACTCCATGCAGAGATAAGAGTCTCATAATCAAATAACATTTTTAAAAATTATGCTCCAGGCAGAAATGTTCCCAGTGTTTTCGACCACCATTCACGTTTCAACTTCCACATTCTGCAAAGTGCCCAAAAGTCATCTATCAAGACATTCAGCCTCTGTGGTCAGTCTAAACCCCTACCAGTCAAATTCTTTCAGTCAAAGACTAAATATGGCAATGTCTTCTGTTAAATTCTACTCTATTATATTTAATGGAGACTTGTGTCTATCTTTATCACTACCACATAGGGTTGTCAACTTTCTAATTGCACAAAACCAAACACCCTTGCCCCACCCCCGCCCCTTCCCCGAGGCCTTGCCCCTGCCCTCCTTGTACGAGGCCCCGCCCCCGCTCACTTCATCCCCCTCCCTCTGTCGCTTGCTTTATTTCTCACTCACTCACTCATTTTTACCGGGCTTGGGCAGGGGTGCAGGCTCCAGGAGGGAATTTGGGTGTGGGAGAGGGCTCAGGGCTAGGGCAGGGGGTTATGGTGCAGGAGGGGATGCGGGCTGCGGGCAGTGCTTATCTCAGGCGGCTCCCTGAAGCTGCTGGCATGTCCCTCAGCTCCTAGGTGGAGGCGTGGCCAGGCAGTACTGCATGCTACCTCTGCCCACAGGCGTTGCCCCCGCAGCTCCCATTGGCCGTTGTTCCCGGCCAATGGGAGCTGAGGAGCCAGCACTCGGGGCAGAGGCAGCGCGCGGAGCTCCCCGGCCATCTCTCCGCCTAGGGGCCGCAGGGACATGTCATCGCTTCTGGGGAGCCACATGGAGCCAGGTAGGGAGCCTGCCAGCCCCATGCCAACCAGACTTTTAACAGCCCAGTCAGTGGTCCTGACTGGAGCCGCCAGGTCTTTTCAATTGGGTGTTCCGGTCAAAAACCGGACACCTGGCAACCCTACAACCACAACCATACACAGTCCATTACACTGATGGGGTCTAAAAGATTACATATTTAGTTAGGCAAACCCAGACATGCCAACAATGGAGCAAAAATTATATCAATTTCAGAAGACTAAGTAGCTTACTGTACATATTTAAATGTAGAGTGAAGAAAGTCTGGTCCAATGGTTGGGTGATTAAGTCTTTTGATATCTTGACAAATACTTTAAAAAATAAGTTTACAACCCAATCAATGTTTCTAATCTCTTATTAGAACATAGTTCATAATATCTAGTTTATCTGTGGGGAACATGGGGTAGGGGAACATACATCCTAAAGCATGACGACTGCTTTTCAGTGCTAGTCCCAGAATTCCAAATACTCTTCCATGACTCTAGGCTTTGGTCCAGCATGGCACTGAAGCACAAGCTTAACTTGAAGCATGGGAATGGTCCCACTGACAGTACTGTTCCTGGCCACCACTTTTTATTTTTTTACACTTATCTAGAAGCGGCCTGAATTTTTATGTTATTTCCTGTATTGAGAAAGATCTACCGTGTCCTATTCAAAGGGCTAAAGTGAAGTAAATTTACTCTAATTTCATTTTCAGTCCTCAGTGCAGATAGCGGTAAGTTACTTACGATATTCATCAGGGTCAGAAGGTACTTCTGTACATGTTCTTTTCCATGGAACTGTACAACCGAGTCATCAACTCCCAGGAGAACTTCAATGTTGTAGTCATCATCAGTCGCATGCCTCCGATATCTCTTTCTTGAGTTATTTACTCGGTCTTCAATGAGGCTCAGCACACTGACAAGGTTATCCAGATTACTCAGGTCAGCTGCTGAAATTAAATAGAAAAATAGGCCGTCAACAGTATATCAAGGTGTGATTGTTTTAATCCTCATTGAAAAGTCAAAATATGGTAAAATAGAGAGACAGATAAAGAAGCAGCTTCTTCTCTTACTCCAATGTTATACCAGTGTAAGTAACTTCATTAGCATTATTCTGCATTTAAACGGGTGTAACAAAGAGAAAAATCTGGCCTACAGTATATCCACATTGCAACAAATGTGAATCCTCTCCCCATCTCTTTGTGGCATCCAGTTGTATGTCCCCTTATACTTGGACTGTATGCTCTTCAGAGCAGGGACCATCTCTTTCTTATATGTGTGTACAATGCCTAAGACAATGGGGCTGAGGCCGATAGGCCCTACCTCTGTAGGCACTGCAGTGACTCTGTGGGTGCTCCAGTGCTGGAGCACACATGGAAACTGGCTGCCAGCTCCCCTGCCCCCCCATGCCTCCCATCCGCCGGCGGCCCTGCTGATCAACTCCTCCCCCTCCTTCCCACTGCGCCTCCTGCCCATAGCGATCAGCTGTTCTGCGACGTGCAGGAGGGGGAGGGAGAGGGAGGAGTGGGGATGGGGCATGTTCGGGGGAGGGGGCGGAACTGGGCAGGAAGAGGTGGGGCTGGGGTGGAGCTAGGGCAGGAAGAGGCAGGGTGGGGACTTGGAAGAAGGGGTGGGGACTTGGGGGAAGGAGGCAGGTGGGGGCGGAGGGGGAGGGTTTAAGCACCCCCGGAACCCGGAGGAAGCCGGCACCTGTACCTACCACAATATAAATACATAACAACAAATAAGACGGTGCTAGAGCATGCTAGTATGTTGATATACCATGTGCCTGTTTGAAGTACAATCCTTGTTGTTGTTAGAAGTTTCTGGAATAAAGATACTGTTCAGCTGTCTTGTGCTGGGGTGCTCTCCCTAACTGCAAATATGATAATGGCCCAGATCTTCTAATGGGAATTAGGTGCCTAATTTTTGTTGAGGATTTGTGCCCATATGCCTTCCTTTTATTATTCAGATTCTGCTGTTCTAGGATCAAATTTCATTGCAAATGCAATTACCCCTGTAAGCTTTCTGCATTAAGCCATGTGAGGACAAACAAACCACTGCCAGCAGAGCGATATTAGAGCTATTCATAGAAATGTAAATCTATCTGAAAAGTAATGATGTGGATAAGTTTTCTACAACTCATGGACATTTTACATAACAAAGAAATACAATGAGAAATATATTTAAGATTTTTTTTAAAACAACTTTTGATCCTTTGTGCCCAACTTGACTTGTCATATTGAATTACTGTACATACAAGCACAATCTCCCAGGTGGAAAATTGGGTAACATTATTATTGTTAATTATTTATTTGTTTCCAATATTGATCATTATTAAAAAAAAAGGGGGGGGGTTGCAGTTAATGAATGATCTGTGTCCACTAAAACAAATTATTGGCACTTAACCCTACACTTAATTCTCCATCACTTGAAGTCTTCAAATTAAGGCTGGATGATTCCCTTTCCTGGCCTTCAAACAATCCAGCAACTTTGCCAAGCTCATCATCGGAAGCAAGCTCCCCACAGTCCAGGACAGACCAACTCAAAAGGCACCAGACCCGACCATAACAACACATGCAAAACCTGCAGACATATTGCCACTGCTATGATGATCAATACCACCCATAAAAAAACTTTCAAGATCCATAGGCATGGGCAGCGGGTGGAGCCCCACTTCGGGGAGGCTAGCTCCCGGCTCCACCCCTTCCGCCCGTACCCACACCCCCTCCCATAGCCAGAGTCCCGGGACCCCATGCTCCCGCGCCCCCCCCCGGCCAGAGGAGCCCTGAGCCCACCCCAACCTGCCCAGAGGAACCCCAGGCCAGCCGGAGCCACCACAGCCATGTTGCCAATCTGCAGACCCGAAGCCACCCCACGGGAAAATTCAAAAGTTCTTCTCTCTTCCGGAAGAAGAACCTTAGCTTTTGATATGCCCCATGCAGGTTCCAGGGTGGCTGAGGAGGTGGTATGTGTTACTCAGCTTCCTGGGTTCATCAATAATCTCCCTAGAGTCCAGGGAGATTACCGATGAACCCAGGAAGTGAGTAGCGCATACTCTCTCCTCAACTGCCCCAGAACCTGCATGATGCATAATAAAATGCAAACATTTCCCCCACGAAACCTCAACCGGGGTCCGGCAGCAGCAGCTGTGCCATAGGTCCTACACATGCTTATCACAACATGTGCTGTACCTCATCCAGTGTATCAAAAGGCCCCAGTAACAACTATGTGGGTGAAACCAAACAACCACCCAGCTCTTGAATGAACTCGCACAGAAAAATGGTAAAAGATAAAAACACCACATCACCATGGGCAAACACTTTTCACAAAACGATCACTCTATATCTGACCTCTCAGTCCTTGTCCTCAAAGGAAACTTGTACAACACATTCAAAAGATAAGCCTGGGAGCTTAAATTCATAACTCTGCTAGTTACCAAAAATCATAGGCTCAAGAAAGACATTTGTTTTACTAAACCTCCTTTATTCTACAACTGTAGAGGTTCAGAGTGGGAGTCATGTTAGTCTGCATCAGCAAAAAGAATGAGGAGTACTTGTGGCACCTTAGAGACTAACACATTTATTTGGACATAAGCTTTCGTGGGCTAAAACCCACTTCATCAGATGCATGGAGTGGAAAATACAGTAGAAAGATTATACATATATAATACACACACACACACACACACACACACACACACACAGAGAACATGAAAAGATGGGGGTTCCCATATCAAGTCTGTAGAGGTGTTAGCTGTCCCCTTCACCTTAAATGGTCTCTTGTAACATGTGTTAACCCCTTATCTTTTCCACCCTTGTATTTATCTGTGAGTATCTTTCCCAGACCACCCAAAGAAGAGCTCTGTGTAAGCTTGAAAGCTTGTCTCTTTCACCAAAGGAAGTTGGACCAATAAAAGGTATTACTTCACCCACCTTGTCTTTCCAGAATTAGTCAAACACAAGTTACTGCTCTCATTACAAGAATAACTGGATGAAATTCTTTGTCCTTTATTATACAGGCGATACTAGATGATCTAATGGTCCCTTCTGGCCTTAAATATCTATGAACAAGAACCCCATTGCAGTAGGCATACAACCACGTAATAAAAGCAAAGGCCCTGCCACCAAAGAGTTTACAATCTTGGTTAATAACAAGATGCAGCAGGTTGATGACACAAACAGAAGGGGAGAATGCCTGTTTCAGTACCCCTTCTTTCCGCCACTGCTCCAAACAGGAGTTCTGCCTATGATAAAGACAGCTTTAAATGTAGCTAATGAATGCTGCAATCATATTCTGCAGGCTCCCATTGGCTCCAACTCTTGGGGCAGCTTGAAGTTTTTGGAAATTAAGTTGGTCAGAATCCGTGGCTCAACTTGAAAATTTGTTCTTCCCTATAAACCCAGTTGACAGTTTCAGGCTGACAGGTAAACAACCCTAGACTAGCAATCCTAAAGGGACTTCCTCACCAGGGTTTGAAAATCTGTCAAACACCCCATTGTAGCCCTATTTCATAGGGCATTCCTGCATAAAAATATTGGTGGTAATCTTTTATAGCAACCAGAAGTAATTATTTAGCAATCACTCAAAACCTCATGAGATTTACTACAAAATCTTGTGGCAACCGTATTTTTGTTCTCTACTATGGCAAACTGTAGTTACTGTGAAACTTGACAGTAAATTTTATAAGATTTTTAGAAACGCTAGACTAGCTTGGCAATGGCTACACGTCATGTCCTGTTTACTTTGCACACAGATAGGTATAATAAAAACCGGCAAAACAAAGGCTACTGAACATGCTATGGAGAAATGGTTTCTCTTTCCAGTGCTTGGCAGGGCAAGGGAGACTGGATCTCTGAGGGGCTGAATGCTTTGGCGTGATCTGAGAGAAGGAGATTGTGTTGATGTCATTGATGACAGGCTGTTTTGACGGTGGTGCTGACAGATCAGTCTCTGCTCTGTTGTTTTTATGGACGGTGATGATGTCCTTGGGAGAGCTGTCTGGTTTTTTTCCCTCCCATTTATGTGTTTAAATCAAAATAAAATAATGATTTCTAGGTGGTGTGACAGGATCGTCAGCCCTCCCACCCCTCACCTGCCATGGCCCTTTAAGGGCTTGAAAGATCCAATAGATATCTAGATAGAGAGACCTAAGGGAATAGGGATAGAAAGGAAGCAGCCCTGGGAATGAATAATGCTTGGAGAGGGAAGCCTGTCACTGTACCTTTAAAGCCCAGGGGCTAGGAGCCTTATAGAGAGAGTGGGGCATGGCTCGCCTCTCACCCAACCAATTGGGAAGGAGTTGGGAGAAGGGGACCAGCATAAAGGCTGCCTCTTCCCTCACAGTAGGGAGACATTGGCAGGAGAAGACTAGCCTGCTGAAGGAAGCTCACAAAAGCCTTGCAGCGGACCCAAGGCACAACCCCAGTTCCAGGCTGTGGGGAACTTCAGTCTGGACAAGTGAGATATTGACTGCTCTAAATACTCACAATACAGCCCAGCATCTGCAGAGCAGGGCAGAAAATGGTCTTCATGGAAGCATCTCCATAGCTGGCTAAGAAGAAGCTGGAAAGAACCACACAGCCAGAGGATTGGGGGTATAGCATTGTCCAGAGGTCTGGTGAACACGTCAAGGGAGAAGACAGGAGCAGCTCAAGGAAGGGGTAGAGGGGTAGAGTGATTAGTCCTTATCCACCTAACACAGGGTCCATGGGCTGGAACCCAGAGGAGAACAAAGAGGAAGATAAGAGTACTAGAAATGGATGAGGCCAAGAACTACAAGTCCCAGATGGTAGTTGAAGGCCAGGCTTAAAGACATTAGACTTTGGGTTTTCTTATTTTGGACACTGCAGTTAGAGCCAAATGGAGAAGTGACCCAGCTAGAGGGTATGGCCACTTAAAACAACAGGCCATTGTGGAATCAACATGGACAAAGGCGCACTAGACTGGA